TTATTCATCCTCAATCTGTCTGAGATGTGCTGTAATTCAATTCAAGGTGGTGCACCGGCTGCACTGGTCCAAAGACGAACTGTCCCAGATCAAAACTGACCTGGACCCTGCATGTAACTGGTGTAAACAAACTCCAGCTAGGCTCTTACACACATTCTGGACTTGTCCAAATCTGCAGAGCTATTGGCAATCTACTCTTGATACCTTCTCTGGGATATGTACTCATCACCATTCATTTCATTGTTTGGGGTGGCCCCTGTGGATGCATCCATATGATTGTTTTTGACTCTCCTCTAGCCAGGAGACTTATTTTATGCAGATGGAAGGATCCGTATCCCCCAGCATATGAACAATGGATAAGAGAAGTTATGTATGATATTCATCTGGAAAATATTAGATATACTCTGAAAGGAGCCGTTGAGAGATTTTGGGACACTTGGCAGCCTTTTGTATCTTATATTGAAACTAGTATATCAAAGCCTGTCTGATGTATTCATGTCTATGTAGCTGATACCATATAAGAGGGAGGGAGGGACAGGATTTTGTTGTATGTTTTTTTTTTCTTTTTGTGTGTGTGTGTTCTGAAAAAAAAGAGGAGAAGGCTGATAAAAAATACGTTCAGTGGTTCATGTGAAATTTTGCTGACAGACAGGCAAATGAACACACAGTCAATGTCATGATCCCCTGCATTATAACATAGCAGGCGATTAAAGGAGATTTTGTGGCACAACTTTTAGTCTATTTTACTAAAAGCAGAACATGAACACACTTTATTTTCCCATTTGTCTCTGGAAATACATTCTAGTCAGCTTATGGTTGCCAATGTAGTGTATTTTTTTTTACTCAATCAATTTCAAATAGTTTTCATTTTAACGTTTGAAAATGAGAAAGTTGAATGCGCCTTCATTGGACACTTAAACCGAGCAACAAAACAGTACCCCGAACACAGAGGTTCACCTGTCTCATCTTCTTCCCCAGCATGGAGGCGCTAGTGTCGATCACAAACACCACGTTCTTGGGCACGGCAGGAAGTTCTTTGGGGGCAAAGTAATGAACGAAATGTCCGTTTAGAACCTGGAGACAGAAGACGGGTGCAACGATGCAGATGAGTTTGGCAGCAGTGTATAATATTTCATCCACCGGTTAGTCATTCAGCTATTTAGAGTCTATGATGGATGCTCATGCTCAAACAGTTTCCCAGTTAACTAACTAAATGGGAATTATGATGCAAAATGTTCTGACCTGGATGTCTCCGATTCCCATGTCTCTTTGGACATCGTAGCGGACCACAAAGTCTCCCAGAATGCCGCTGGTGGAGATCTTGGCCTGTTGGACGATGTTGGGGCTGAAGCTGATCTTGCGGACGTTGTTTTCGTTCTTGATCACCGTGGTGATGGGAACTTCAGGTTTGGCTGGAGCACAAAGACAGGAAATGAGTCAGATTATTATTTTTTCCCTTTTGGATCGAGAACAAAACACTAAGATAAATAAAGTGTCTGTCACCTTGAGGTAAATTTAAACTCATGAAAAGGATCTCCGTTTTCTGTTTTGGAGGAAAACGGTTTGACGCAGGCATGAGCTGAATTTCCTAATATTTCTTTAGAAGGTTTTATTCATTAAAAAAACACCTGTAATTGTCATGGACACCAAACGTTTAGCACCTGAAAGCATGAGTATATTCCTGAACCTGTTAACTTTGGTTCCTTGGGACGGGTTGCAGTGTTAGCAGCACCGTTGCTCTTGCTGTTGCGGAGTGGCAGCACCTCCAGGTCCGTGATGGGTGAGTGGTCGACGATGGCGATGTCCAGGCTGAGGCGGCTGACCAGCTGCAGGGGTCTAAGGCTGGTGACGTGCTCGTAGCGTCCCAGCCGCCGCTGCAGAAGCTCCTCGTACATCAGCAGGAAAATGGCTCGACTCCTGCCGGGAATGTTCACTGCCATTCTGAACACCTCCACCTCGGGTTCTGGGCTGGAGAAGAGACAATTGACAGCCTCATCATCTAATGTGGTTTGTCCAAAACATAACAAGACATTATTCTTTATCAATAAAAACAGAGTTAGGGTTAGGTTAGGTTAGCGATTGGTTAGGTTAGCTTAGGGTTAGCGTTAGGTTAGGGTTAGCTTAAGTTAGAGTTAGCAATAAGCTAGGTTAGCTTAGGTTAGGGTTAGCATTAGGTTAGGGTTAGGTAATAATGTCATCACAATGTCAGCACTGCATGTTTCCATACAATGGCGAAATTAGTCTCTGCATTTAACCCATCCACCACCAGGTGGTGCAGTGGGCAGCTATTCAAGGCGCCCGGGGGGCATTTTGGGGATGAGACGTGCTGCCCAGAGACGCCACGTGATGTGCAGTGACTGGGGATTGAACCTGGGACTTTTGGGTCCCAAGCCGGCTGCCCTGCCTCTACACCATCTCGGTCGTTAGGGTTAGCATTAGGTTAGGGTTAGGTTAAGTTAGGGTTAGCATTAGGTTAGGGTTAGGTTAAGTTAGGGTTAGCGTTAGGTTAGGTTAAGTTAGGGTTAGCATTAGGTTAGGGTTAGGTTAAGTTAGGGTTAGCATTAGGTTAGGGTTAGGTTAAGTTAGGGTTAGGGTTAGGTTAAGTTAGGGTTAGCATTAGCTTAGGGTTAGCGTTAGGGTTAGGTTTAGCATTAAGTTAGGGTTAAGTTAGCATTAGGATTAGGTTAGGGATAAGGTTATGGTTTGGTTATCGTTAGTTAGGGTTATCTTAATGCACAATAACGGTCATATTTAAAACTTACAAAAAGTTCTGACATCAAATTACTTTAAATTAATTCAAACCTTTGAAAGTGAACTTTATTTTGATGGGATTCTGATTTGTATCTTGTATCAAACTTTGCATTCAAGTTTACCAGGAGAGAAACAATTTCATTTTTTTATACTCTCTAAAGATTTCAATCCATCTTGTCAGCCATTTTCCTCCACCCAGAGTTCTTTTACGGTGTCGTCAATGAATTCCACAATCAGCAGCGTTTTTCACGCATGCCACACCACATCATGACACTCCCACCTCTTTGCTTCACTGACAGCAATGTGCATTTATAGCCTCAGGCTCACTCCAAACTCAATCACAATGTGTTTTTTTTTTTTTTTTTTTGAAGGGGAGGCAGTTTATTTAAGCATTTTATTCTTGACCACACTTAAAGTTTTTGGGATGCTGTAGTTACAAAAACTCAAATTTAGTTCCTTTGCTTAACAGTTTCAAATGATTTTAGCTCAGAATCAATCTTTCTGTATCACCTTCTGTGTTTCTAATATTACAGAGTTTTCACTTTTTTCAGGAGTTCAAGACAGCTGGAAATGGCATGATGTCGCTTCTTCCGTTTTTGTCATTTCTTGGATCACAGGTTTTAGTCACAGCTGTCTAACTCATGACTGACAATCTTAATCTTTGTGGTGTTAGTTGTGTGGTTTGAGTCGATCTAGGAAGAGATGCACACAAATCAGCATTTTTATACCTTGTGTCACTCGGCTCTTTGTTCTTGGGCTTGCCGTTCCCTTGTTTGACCCTCTTCTCCTTCGGTCGGACTTCACTCTGGTAGACACGCCCTCCAATGATCCTGGTTCAAGGGGGTCAAAGGTCAAGCTTTAGAGTACCACATACATTCACGCACACTATTGTCGTGGCTCAGCTTGGTTTTTCATGGACAAAGGCCTCACAAAACGCTGTCAGTATCTATTTACACAGCCCCGTCCTGCACATGAACAGATCTGAGCCCTTTCTAACCTTTTACTCTCTTAAATCTTCATAAAAACTGAACCATCGAGACAAATGTCAAAGCTGTTAATGTTTTTTTTTATTGTAGTTGTAAAGTGTTTTTAATTTATGCATGGTATAATAGGGGGGTGATGCCCATTTTTATTCTGTTCACGTTTTTTCTATTAAAAAAACAAAACAGGCAGATTATAAATCAAAACTCGTGGCCCACACTGGGAGCAGTCTGCTGAAATTGTACAACATGAACGAACTTTGCAAAAATTTATGGGCTTTTGACAAATCAAGAGAAGAAAAACTTCTTTGGAGCTCTACAGCTCGGACGTACTTCATATTTAAATTGACATTTTGACATATTTCACAGTTTATCTGTATTCATAGATAAGTTTTATGATAGTTGAAGATTTTCAGTGGAACGCTGACTCAACGTTTTAGCGTTCTGATCCTCAAAAAGCTGCTAAAACGTCTTCCTATCACAATAAGTTTAGTACTTTAGCTCAATTTTTTTCTTCTAAACGGGAAGAATTAAAAAAAATTTTTTTACTTGTACTATTTCCCACATAAACACAATAGATAAATAAAAATTCACACATGACCAGCAGAATTTTGGCGCACAGTTCAATAATTTGTCCAATACAGCTTACAGTTTTCACACAGTGGTTGCTTTTTGAGGCTTACTTTTTAGTCAGTGTTTCTGTCTGTCGCATACACAAATATGTAGATATTGTGGCAACCTGCCCCTGACAGCCGCTTCAATATTTTTTAAAATCTTCCTTCTTTTATACATGAAAATGTCTTTTTTTTTTCAGATTATTTTGAAGTTTTGTTGGAATTCAGGACAGCTGCTGCATCAGCATCCTTCAAAACTTCTCCAGTTATGTTCTAGTTTACCATCTTTGCCATCTTAATGAGAATCTACTCGTAATATTATAGCAGGCTGCAAATATGCTAAAAAAAAAAAGATAATTTAGTTTCTAAATCTTGCTAAAATCGATTGATTATTATGATATTTTTCTAGAAATATGGATCAACATTTTGATTAAAAAAGAAGTGCAAATAGTTAACAGCCTGAATGTCAAACCCACTCTTGGAATGAAAATCCAAGAAGGAGGTTAAGTTACATTTCCACCTCTTCACATTTATCAAATCACAAAAAATAGAATCCCTATTCATAGAATGAAGTTTTATCCAGTTATTTCTGAGATCTGATATTGGTTGGAGGCCCATAAGATGTGAGCTGAAGGTGGAATGATATGGGTGGTTCCTACATGGTGAAGTTGGAGATGTAGGCTCCGGCGGGGATCTGGAACTGGAAGAGGCCTTCAGCCGCAGCAGAATACCGGTTCAGCATGGCGCAGTGCACAGCAGTGAACGCGTAGCGGGAGATGATGGTGGTCTTGATGGACAGCTCTTGGATGTGAGATTTGGCCTCCTGAAACACAAGAAGAAGTAAGGACTCCCATACACGCCCCTCGCTGAAACAGCTTCATGCGCATGGCGCTGTCGCGCGTAAAGGCGTCGCTGCTGTGCGTAAAGTTTTTCCACCTTGAATTTCTTTCATCTTGACAAGTCAGAGCCAGCCGCACTTCCCCACAGCTCAACAGGCAGTGGGATTTGTTCAGCTCAGATGATTACAACATTACAGAAACTTTGGCTCATCTGCGCGCTTGGCGGATCTCCTGCGTCCACACCCAGCGCGCACGTTTGGAGCGACAGACTCCACTTTTATCTGACTTAAACTGGGTCATCCAGTCTAGATCAGAACATTTATCACTTATAATCACTTATTTCGACCACTTGGAATCATTTAGAGGGAAAAATACCAGAATTGCAAAACGTTTTTCTGGATCTAAATGAGATTCATTTCTTACCTTAACAGGTTTCAGCTGCCGTGGCACCCTGCGCGCCTGCAGAGACAAACATGGTCAGGATACAACTAATTTAAACACAACGTGTGCAAAGCGGCGGTGCAGATCTTACAAAGTCCAAATCAAAGTCTGCCTGATCGGGATCAACATCATCCTCAAACTGGGACTCCGCCAGTTGCCCCAGAGCAGCGGGACTGAAGCAGAGCAGCAGAGTCAGCAGCAACATCCTGCAGGTCGTCTCCATTAAAAGCTCGTTACAAAGATAAATGACACACCATCGTTATTAATGGTAATCCTGCTGTCTGAGTCCCAGTCCAGATCAGACTGACCCGACGGAGAGTTGACGCAAAGGAGAAAAACCCGCCCCCACCCACTGGAGCAGAGGGATGAAAACCTCAACTTGCTGCCTTCAGGGACCGTCGGACAAAAGCCAAGGAAGAAGGAAAAATACAGAAACTTTTACAGATAAGTCAGTGTGCATCAGTTTATAGTATTCATATTGCCATAGTGACGCAACAACAGGACCACAAAGTGAGACTCCATTTTAATTTTGACTCTTTTCCGAGTTCAACCCACATTTCTTTACATAAAAACCTAAATACTGCAGGTTACTTGGTTCATTGGAGTAAAAAGCAGACGCTGACGGGTTCGGCTTTATGTTGGATTGAATTTATGGAAAAATAAAATGTGTGCACAGGAAAAGAGATGTCTATAAAATGACAATAAAAGCTTGTGCAAACATTTATTACCAGACACTCTTTACTTGAGTCAGACACTGTAAGACCTGGTTTGTTTTTTATCATTCATTTCTATTGAACAGAGTGGAAACACTGGAGTTTTTAGCTCATGTGAATGAATAGTTTTAATTAGACAGTAAAACTATAATTGTATTTTAATTGACAAAGAAGCACATTCACAAATATTTAAAGGGGGGAGAGGGTGTCACGCATATTAAATTCAATCAATTAAATTTAATAGAATTTAACAGAGCTTTGCCGTCACCTTGTGGTAATATTGACACATTACAACTTTTAAGACTTTTTTTTTTTTTTTTGTCAAGTCAGATTTATTTATATTGCACATTTCAAACAGAAACTGTCACCAAAGTGCTTAACAAAAAGATCACAGCATCAAATAAAAAGTAACAAGATATAATTACAGCATCGGGAATAAAAACAGAAAACAATCAGAATCAATGAAAAACTAAATCTAAATCCCATCACCCTGGGTTAAATGTCAATGAGTACAGGTGTTTCGAGGAGAAATTTAAAAGCAGAGACTGAAGCAGCCTGTCTAATTTTGATGGGCAGATTGTTCCAGTGTAATGTGCTCAAACCTATGAGTTCCTGTTAGTAGCTGGGCTGCAGCATTTTGGACAAGCTGGAGACGTGAGAGTAAAGTCTGACTGACCCCAGCATAAAGTGACTTACAGTAGTCTAGCCGTGTTGTAATGAATGCATGGACTAATTTTTCAAGGTCGGATCTGGACAGCACAGACTTGAGCTTAGCTATCTGCCTTAGCCGAAAGAAGCCTTTTTGAAGAACAGAGTTGATCTGCTTATTAAACTTAAAGTCCGAGATTGCTTTAGATATGGCTGAAGGGAGTACAGGTTTACAGGATCAGAGACAGTGGCAGAGCTAGGATTAAACATAATGACATCAGTCTTCTGATCATTAAAACTCAAGAAGTTTGTAGCCATCCAAGTCTTGATGTCATCAAGACATTTTAGCAAAGGGCGAATGGAGTAGGAACTGTTAGGTTTTAAGTTCGGATAAATCTGACAATCATTGGCATAACAATGAAACAAAATGACATGTTTCCTCAGGATAGACCCCAAGAAGAGCAGATACAATGAAAACGGAAGGGGTTCTAGAATGGAGCCTTGCGGGACTCCACAGGAAAGGGAAGCAGGTAAATGATTACCAACATTGACACAAAAACTCCTATTACTCAGATATGAACGTAACCATTCTAATGCTGCACCCGTAATCCCAACTCAACCCAATGTTCCAACCGTCATATAAGGATACTGTGGTCACCAGTGTCGAATACAATGTTTTTGTTACAACAACAACAACAAAAGAGAAACAATGAAACATTTAAAAACTATCATATTTTTCTCCATTACACATGACAAGTGTTTAAGAAAAAATAAAATCAGTTTGTATACAATTTCAACAATTTCCTGCAGGAACAATAAAGTTCTGTTATCTTATCTTATCATATCTTATACCCCTATGATGATTACATGTTGCCATAGGAACATCAATATATGGCCACCAAATGAGATCCTGTTGCAATTTTGGGTAATTTTTTTGTTAAATCCAAATTTATAGGAATAATAACATGGCAACTGAATATTTCTCGGTTCACATAAGGTGATGGGGTGCTGAGATATACTAATATATATAGGTGTATCCGATATGATAAGATAAGATAACAGAACTTTATTGTTCCTG